CGTTAGAGAGATGAGTGGACGCATTTGAATTAGTAGTATACCAAGGTATCCAGTGATGTAATTTTACCCACAAACGGACTTGAAGTTTTTAAGCTAATTTTTTTTAAACCACTTTTGCTCAAAAAAGCATATTTTTTACCCAAAATCAAAAACGCATTCTGGATATTTAAAATAAAGACAAGTTTTACAAAGTTTGTATAATAAGCTTTCAGAAAATATATAACATGTTGGATATATAATACCATCTTCATTGTCTAATTACTCAATTAAAAAGCAAGCCAAATAAACTGCATCTCTACCTTAATTGAATGGGTAATTGTCTATTGAGTGGGTGCAAATTGTGTTTACAGAAAGAAATAGCACAATGCATTCAGTCAAGTAGTCGTGGCCGAGCGGTTAAGGCGATGGACTAGAAATCCATTGGGGTCTCCCCGCGCAGGTTCGAATCCTGCCGACTACGCCACTTCTTTTTCATATTATTCTCCATTCTATTAATCCTTGCAAATATTATCTAAATTTTTAATGAACCATTTTTTTTACCCTTTCTCATCAGTTCAACAAGCTGTTTTATCATCCCATCCTTATCTTTCACATGTAAAAAAAAACAATAAATACTTTTTTTTTTTCTACAATCTTGTATTAAGTGCCTTTTCATTCCAAAATACCATATTTACTTATTTACTTTATTTGAAATGCATCACCAACGGAAATGAGTAAAACTTTTGTGAAACTCACATTGTTATTTGTTAAAACTAACTATATCACAAGAGCATAATAACTTCTAATAAGTAAAGTACAATCTAAATATAATATTTGTTAGCTCAGACTTGTTAATTTTTTTGTTTATTATCTTAATGGAATAAAAAGGCAGTGGGATAACAAAGCCAGATTAGTTGGGCAAATGACAAGAATAATAGTATGCTATGATTTCATGAGAAACTGCACTTTAAACACAACAAAAAAGAAACATGAAGGAATACTGTTATTCACTCTATTGGAAGTAAATCTCCAAGTATGATGGCATGTAAATACATACCTTTTTATACATATCCACCACCATGGTGTCAAGTTGACTCAGCCTCACTAAATTGGTCCCGACTAAGATTCTCAATTCTAGTCGTTCTTTTTCTCTCTTCTCCCGATCACGCGAGTGCCCCTGGTGTTGCATTCTCACCCACAATTTATTCATCTCAGCAAAGTTCAAGAGAATGAAATCGATGGAATCTTTGACAGTGCCAGTTTGTGTCTCCTCACTGCAACGTAATAATTTCAGGATGAGTCTAGGATGTACAAATTGATCTGCTTTTATGGGAATTGGCGCAAAATAGAATTTGCAATCTTCGAGGGCGGAGCTACGTCACAAGACGTTCCACGTTGTTCAGGGGAGTCTCAACAACCATCCCAAAGTATCGTTTTCTGTGAGTTTTTTTCCTTTGTTTTCAAAACGATGGTTGCCAGGAGGTGGAAATGCCCGGATGTCTGCCCCGAGGATATGTACTCACTCCAATAAATCTTACAGTGCCAACCAGAGATACAGACAGAAAGGGAGCAGAGGAGCTTGTATGGTTCAAGTCTTCGTTAAGCAGGGAAGCAACAGAAAATGGTTTATCTACATTCACAGTCATGCTGAATACAATAACTTTCATGTTTAGTAATAGTTACAGAAATACAGGTACTACAGAATTTAGCAGTCGGACTCACCCTTCTTGGCAATCCGGCAGAGAATTTCGGGTACACTGCAAAAGATAATTTCTAAGAAACAGACCTCTCAATGGATGCTGGACACCTCGACACATCTCCACTAAATCTTTCAGAATATCTTTTCTGTTGTGGTCATTGGCTTTGATGTAAACAACCCCAACTGTCACTAACAGATACCTTTAGAAAAAATAAAATTAAAACTAAAATGTGACACAAGAATATGTGAATATCTAGTTATGTGGCTTTAAGAATCAGACAAACAAGATACTCATTGACAAATAAGTAAAGCACAGACTGAACCCTAAATACCAAAGGTCCACCTCTGTCTGAAAAAAAAACACTAAATAATATGTAAATCAGCTCAGTGTGCTGTCGCAATGATTGGAAGTGATTTTACAGTGATAGAATGTAATAACTTACTGAGACATTTTCGCAAATTTATTAACATTTCATTACAATAGATTAAAAAGACAATAAAACTATGCAAATGTGCAATTAGGAGACAACAAGCATTGTACTCACAATCTAGGGATGATGTTTCCGGCGTATTGGACCAACTCATAAAGGTCAGCTACTTTGTGACCTTTTTGAAACTCATCGGCAAGATACTGTTCCAGGTAGCGTAATTCATCACAAATAGCCATATCTATGAGGTCTCTGTTAAGGTCAACGTTATGAATGCTGCACTAAAATACAGCTGTGTTGAAGACGAGGAACAAAAAGAGGTCATCTGTGATGAAGACATTAGTACAAATCAATGTGCATTGGTATTATTATGGTATTATTACACAACATAGCGCAGGTTTTTTTCTAAACCGGGGAACAGGGGCACATCGCCCTGATACTCTCGGCTGGCGCCCTTTTACCAAATTGCCGATTGAACTTTAAAGTCATAAATATATTTCTTGAGCTGCGCACTTCCGTAATCTTCTCAAATATATTTGTCTCTGTGAAAACTTCCCAGCAACACCAGCTGACAATGTGTCTGGACACATTGAAATATTTCAATGGCCATAGATACACCATTAAATCGGCGCAGAAACCTTCCGTTTCCAGGTTGATCCGCCACGTTGTTTCTGTGCTAGCTTGGTTGCTCCACTCCCTCACCTGTGTGTGCTCCCTCTTCATTTTTTCTAGAAAAAACCCTGAAGCGTAATCAAAGTATTGACCAAACCACAATTTAACAACTTTGACAACTCTCTCAAATGCAGTAGATGCAGACCATGCATATGTTTGTCAACAATGGAAGAAAAGAACAGAACCCATAATTTGATAAAAAAGGGATCTCTGACATATATTGGGAGAGGTCAACATCAAACATTATTTATACAGCTAATATGCAAGACATACATAACAAGGATACATAGTTCATAGTAGCTTTTAGGAGACAGCATGGATGTTCTCAATTCACTCAGCATATTGGATGCATGTTTCAAACCGTCCATCAGTTTGGCCTTATCCTATTGGGCGAAAAGACATGATGTAATATAGAATAGAATAGAATAGAATAGAATAGAATAGAATAGAATAGAATAGAATAGAATAGAATAGAATAGAATAGAATAGAATAGAATAGAATAGAATAGAATAGAATAGAATAGAATAGAATAGAATAGAATAGAATAGAATAGAATAGAATAGAATAGAATAGAATAGAATAGAATAGAATAGAATAGAATAGAATAGAATAGAATAGAATAGAATAGAATAGAATAGAATAGAATAGAATAGAATAGAATAGAATAGAATAGAATAGAATAGAATAGAATAGAATAGAATAGAATAGAATAGAATAGAATAGAATAGAATAGAATAGAATAGAATAGAATAGAATAGAATAGAATAGAATAGAATAGAATAGAATAGAATAGAATAGAATAGAATA